CTCAAAAAACTATAAGACAACTACCTAGATACTCCACACTGTCAGTATCTGTTGGATACCACCCGAACCCGAACTCGAACCCGAACCTTAGAACCAAACCCGAACTTGAGCCGAACCTGAACAGTTCGGTCCCGAACTCCGAGCCGGAGTTCGGGTTTGGTGCATCCCTAAGGTCAACAGATAATAACCACAACCAAGTTCATGCGTTTTTTTCTGAGCAAATGTTACTATTGAGCATGTGTTAAATACAATACCGACTATTACCATCAACAATGCAAGTACCAACGCCAAAAGGATGATTGTAGGTTGATGTACAAGAGATGTATCAGTTAGGATTTCCGAACCAATGATAGCATCTAATGATAACGCATATTGCGTCATTGTTATGTGACATAGAGCACCATAATAACAATCGGGACACAGACAAACAAAGTCATATTGACCTTTTTGTTTACGTTGTAAACATCGACCATTATTTTGGCAATAACTTTTGTTCTCTGTACAATTTACTGTTGCATGATTATAGTTTAAACAATCGGTTAAACCATTTTGATCACATAAACACATGTAGATTTCATCAAAGAAACATTTCAGTACTGGTGAACTTAAACGACATAATCGATGATAATATTTAATTTTTCTTAACCAAACGAATTCTCTTACAGTATTATTAAGGTATTCATCAGCATGTGGACAATAATTTGTTTTCATTATGGATGTTGTTGCATTCGTCAGATTATATTTATTTAGTAAAATTAAGTAATATCTACCATATTCATCATTGACATTAAAAAATAATTGTACAAAAACAAATGATGGTATATACTGTTGTTCATTATCTTTAATAATTAAAAATATTTTATTTAAATTAATTTCAACATTAGTATAAATGAAAAAATTTCGATGCATCATAGCTCCAGGCATACTTTGAGGTGAATGTAAAAAATGGACAATGACAAGTGGTACATAGGTAATAGGTATAATATCAGATTTTTCAATTTTAATTGCTAATGTTGCATCTTGATATTGACACATTGATCCGAAATAGTTATGTTTACAAATACATGCAAATTTTACTGTTCGATCATCGAGTGGTATACATGTACCATCATTTAGACAATTGACGGTTTTACATGGATCAAATGAAACATAACAATCAGAACCCAATCTGCCCAACAAACATAAACAAAATGTATTATTAAGGTAATTAGAAATACATTTAGAATTATTTGAACAATTTGAAGCTAGACACTGATCATTTTTTATATTACACTGTTCACCCATCCAACCACTATAACACGAGCAAAAATGTTTTTCACTATTCATATACACCATACATGTTCCGTGTGAACAAGCCAATGCGTCACATTCAACTTTCTTCATCAGTTTTTGATTATCAATTATTAATCTTATTGCTAGTCTATTAACAGGTAAAAATGGAAACTGCACTTTGTAATATCAAGCAAGGTTAAATTCTGCCGAAATATTAGTCAAAGAATAAGCATCAATACGAAGTGAATAATTTCCGACAGGCTTTGGTCTAGGATACAACAAATAAAAAACATGTTTTTCTGATGATAAAAGATGAGGAAAATGTATTAGTTGTTCATAGGTTATAACCGTGCCTGTTTCATCGTTTAATAGATAGAAAATTAATTTATAAATCTTATTACGAACAGCATCATGTAATATTTCAAGCAGAAATGATATAGTTAAACGTTCACTTTGAAATTGACACCTACTACCATAATAACTTGGCGAACAAAGACACTGGTCATGACCAAAAAACGATCGTACTAAAAGACCTCTGTTACAATAAAAGCTAGTATATTCACTGTCAATTATTTTTTGTTTTGTAATTACAAGACGGTGATTTTCGTCGTACAAAGAAATCGGATACACAGTATCTTTGATAGATGGCAAGTTAGATGGAACTAATTCAAAATCTTTGAATGAAAATGGTTCATACTGTGTTTGCAAGGGTTTTCTTAATATAGAAAGATCACACAACCATTCATCTTCACCATCTTCAATACAATCAATTTGATTGTTACAACGTACTGTTTGCGGGAAACATGTACCATTTTTACAAGTAAAGCTGTTCATAGGACAAGAAGAATTAATTTGCCATGAACAAAGATATTCATCATCTTGAAGTGGACAGTCGTATTCACGATTGCATATTTGTTCAGGTGTCTTTGGATATTTAAACTCATCACACCAGTAATATTCTATCTTTTGTGGTAGAATATAAGTTCCAGAAATAAAAAAGCTTTACGCTCATCTGTCGATCCCAAGCAATCAATTATTCCATCTCCAGCTTGATTTAATGGCAAACAACTTAATTTTGTCTGATTCCATTTACCACAATAATGTTCATTTAATTGACATTTTGTTAAATTGTGCGTAATAAATGATGTTATACTATTTGGACAATAAAGTTCATCACAACCATTTGGACGATCCCAAATACCATTACAATAACCATACCGGGTTCTACACGGCCATTCATCGCAATTTGATTCTTCTGATTCTCCAATAGTACCATAGAGATGTAACAAAAATTCAAACTGATTACAAATTTCTTGATATCGGAGAATAATAACGGTAGAATTTGACATTATCTCAAATTCACGAAAATATTGACAATCATATTCGTAAGTACACTGAACTGGAAACCATTCATCAGAATTACCAGAATAACAATCTGACGATCCATCCGCAACCAACCGATGTGGTATACATGCTCGTCGCCCTGACTTACACATAAAACGACTAGTTAAATTAAGATTACATGAATCTGATAGTAAATAATAATTAACCGCAAAATCTTCATCATCTTTCCAAGGTAGACAATCATTAACAGCATCATATAAACGATGTTTTGAAATTAATAAACCAGTTTGGCATTTATATAATTTTGTATCTATACGATATGTCTTAAATACGGTAGTATCAATAGATACTTTTAATGGTAAAGAACAATTAGAAAATAAACTTTGAATATTATTATAAAATATTGTTGATCCTGTTATTCCTGTTCCCATGAATCCATAATCATCAATCTTAAATTCGTTTGAGAAAGAACATATATGATCATCTAAAATGTTATCATTACCATTAAACGGGATTGAGAATTCACACAGAGTTTTTTCATAACATACATAATTTGGTAGCAAAAAATAGGCTACATTTTTCACTTGATTTTCATTTAATTCATTTAAAATATTTAGAAATTTTTTATTTTTATATAGAAATTTAATCGACGGATGATACGAAAATTGTACTAACTTATCAAACGAGCAATCATTTTCTTCATCTTTATAGTAATAATCAGCAATATGGTCTGTCTGATTATATGCATCTGACATATCGTAAAGACATGAAAGACCAACTAAACATAACATATGTTTCCAACATTCAAAACTATATAAAGATTCTGAATGAAATGAGTATATCTCTTTAATATATAATGTGTTACGTTGACTATCACATTCATTAAACGCTTCATCCACACTGAAACTGTTGTAAAAACACTCGCCATCACCACATGAAAATGTATTTAAACCACAAATATGTTCTTCACATTCAATAGATGCTGAATTAAAACATCCTTTACTTCGTTCATGCTGTTTCTGTTCATCGAAAAAATCGAGACAATCTAATGTAAGATCAAATGAAAAACCTTTTGAAATACACATACCGTTACGACATCGATATTCTGTTTCTTCATCGCATTAATTTAATTCTAAATCAATACAATCACGTTCGTCTTCGCTATTTATACAATCAACTAGACCATCACAAACTTGTCGTCAGTCTAAACAAAAGTTCCTGATTGTTGTACAATTTTTTAATTCTGTATAACATGTTAAATTTTCCGTTGTCATTAAACGTACATCTCGTTTAAGTTTATTAGTAAATGTATTCTTAATAACTGTGTCTAATGAGCCATCGAACACAAAACGATACTGACAGTATTCGCCGAAATATGAACGATCCGAACAATTACAATATGTATTATTTTCTAGCACAGTCGAATTGAGAGATAAATACTTTTGATAATCATTCACTGTATCAATTGGAGCATACCAGTTATATAACTGAGAACTGGTTATATTTAATGTTTTCATTTCTATAAATGCATAATCACTATTACCATAACATTTTTCCCATACAGCATTTTCAAATGCCGATGATAAGTCTGGTCTAATACAATATGGAACCAAGTGACGTGATTTTGAATCTATTGAATAATGATATAGACAATTTTTGTAAGAATTATCTATTATTGATTTCGTATGATATAGGCGAAAGTTACAATTAACGACAGTTAATGATGAAACAAAAATACTGAAGATGTAATACGACTTATCAAGTTTCATTAGATCTAGAAGAATAACATACAGTGTATATGCATAAATAGCCTGCACCGTATGAAAACAAGACTTATCATTTAGTTGTTAAAGCTTGTAGAAAAAACTGTATTTCGAACAAAGCGATAGCGCGCATAGGATAAAGACATCTGAACGACATTTCTCCCAACTGCAGCCTTTTGTAGCGAAAAAAACATTATGATCTTGTTACCAAGATCGTACGTTTCTTGAGACAAAAATCTGTGTCTTTTATTTACGCAAAAAGTGCATTTTTATCTCTACAACGCGAACTGTCAAGAAAAGATCAAAAAGACAAAAAAGTTGTCGCTTGCCTGTGTTATTGTCCATTAAGCCACCGATCCATACTGATATAATGAAACCAAACTTACTTTTTATCCTCTCGAATTTCTTGCAATCTTATTATTTTCTCTACAAGAAAGACCAATATCTTTTCAAAACTTACCTAAAACCACTTTAAAATGTGAGACATTGCTTTTCGTCATTATGAAAGCATTTAGACATCGGAACAAAACATTAGTGTACCGAAGCGGTTATGAGCTTGAATACAATTTGATACTTAAAAGTATATGAATACTACAATACGAATTGAATCTAAATTTATCAAAACCATTATCATTTGACAGACCGACACTATGACGGAAGGGTCTTGACGAAATGGTGTAAAAAAAGAATATCAATATTATAAATCAGCTACTAAATAAAGAGCTAAAACATTCCTATAAAAATGACACTTTGTTTTGACTACATTAGTTTGACTTGTTTATTGTGGAAAAGAAAATGAATAAACGTTTTTTTTAACAAAGTTCTCATTCATTATAGTCACGAGCGTCTTGAAATACGATTAGACACTTGCACGTCTAGTTAGACATGAGATACTTTTTACAGTGTGTGCTCACAATACGGATTTATGGGTAAAAAAATATGAAACGGATACTTTTCGTGTTTTTCAAGTAATTTTGACATGAGACTTTTCTTAAACTGAATGCTGTTTCATGAAACAGTGCTGTAGATAGCTCATGTGGACCTTGATTTCCTCAGGAATCCTTTCTGTACATGAGTTGTCTCTTCAAAAGCTTTAACAGCCACCATAATCAAAGTTGCGACAGCCGCATATATAAAGTAGAGTGGTTAACGAGAAAAAACATCGTTCATCTTTTATATTATCCAGTCATTTCTCGTTAACCACTCGCTCGTGACTATAATGAATGAGAACTTTGTTAAAACAAACGTTTATTCATTTTCTTTTACAAGATAAATAAGTCAAACATGAAGTCAAAATAAGGTTTCCGCCGTTTATAGGAATATATTTACTGTGATTTTTTGTTCAAATGTCTGTCTTCTTCATTATCATTTTGTTTTCTAGGTGTGATGTTGAATTGATAAAATGTCCTTGATATCTCTTATACTATAAGTGAATGTACTTCTGACACGTACTCGTCGAGGCAAGGAAGTTTTGCTTTTACAAAATATCTATAACGGGCGATGTTTAGAAGTACTTTTTGTTAGTTCCTTCTTCGCTCATTGTTGTGGATACTCAGAAAAACGCCAGCATGAACGTTACTTAGAGTATTTTTTCTCATTTTGTCTCCTTTGCTCAAAGCAAATCTCAGGTACTGTATACCATTCGATAGAGAATTTCATGGGCTACAAAATGATATATAATATATTGAGAAAAAATTGGATCTGGGTATCCTAACACTAGAAATACTAGTCACAAGCTCCACAAATCCATAGGTCAACATCGTTCATCTTTTATATTATCCAGTCATTTCTCGTTAACCACTCTACTTTATATATATGACTGTCGCAACTTTGATGTACGGTGCCAGCACTGTTTCATCAAACAGCATTCAATTTAAGAAAAATTATGTTTTATCAACATAATTAATGTAACCTTTCCCCAATTATAAGAGATCATCCTAGAAGATCAGTGTCGATCATGTTATCATTAGATTCTTTCTATGATCTTTGGTCAAAATCGACATGAGTTGCTCATCAGAATTGAAGATTTTGGGCGGTGTTCTGTTATGAGGACTGTTCGTGCAATTCAGTGTTTAATTGAGAGAAGCTCAGACGGATGACCGGTCCTTATGAGTAGAGTAGATCAACTATAAAATATATTTTTAGTTCAGTTTTATCCGTCTCATTTGAAGTCCCATAACTGACACTCGTAACTGCGAAACATTTCACCTTGGAGACACTTTTTGACTTTCGTCCACTGATTGAAATTGATAAATTTTACTAAAATTAGCACTTTTCATACTTTTATTTATACGTTTTTGTTTCTCAAAACAGCATTTGAAGTGTAAGAAAACTGAGAAAGAAGAAGGATTATTACAAATAGTAGATTATGATATTAGTTACATTTTATGGTCACTGAGTTCAAAATCAGATTACGTACGGGAAAAAAAAGATTTCATAATCTGGCAAGACGATATGTAATCTGGGAAGATACGTAGTATACTACAGAGAAAGAAAGACAATAATGTGACTAAAAATCAGCTGATGTGTGTTTTTACTTGTGTTATCAATCTTCTTTTCGTATCATAAACTAATATAATACCTTCATAGCTCTATACTGCGTACTTGTATATATTTGCTGTCCAAGTCTGAGAAAGAGCAAATATTTTGTTGGCTTTTAAATAGGATTCAAACTCGATATTAAATCTTGCCACTCTTATTTAATGCTGATACATGGCTATAGAGAAATAACTTTTGAAAATGATTTACAATGGCTGCCTAAAATGTTTGTTTTTCAGATACTTTTCCTCGAATTGTTTGTATTTTCGTTTGATAAACACAAATGCAGTAGTTTTAGGAGAAGAAAAAATCAACATTTATATTAGATCTGGAGTATGTTTGAATCGCCAACAAGTGCCTTTGATAGATAAAATGGATACATCTCTTTCAGAAATGAAATTCGAAGTGAGTCAAAAAGAAAGCCAAGATACAACGTGTTTCTTTTATTCTATTTATTTTATCGTTCTCGTTCTCACTTAAGTAAAATCGACACATACGCACACATCTGCCAAGAAGTGAACGAAAAGAAGACATTTTATTCGATACGCGCGTATTGTAACGTTAAACTGTCCCAGACTAGCCGATAGTACTGACAGAGTAATAGTGGAGTGCATATATTCAGAATTAAACATCATCGACTAAAGTGCTTATTTATATGTGGTAGTTGTTTGACTCAATGATGATGACCTGTACTCGAGAGACGTGCGATGATATTTTCCTTATTTTCAACCGAAAAATTTATTCAGATGATCTATCATTTTCTTGCACTAGACCGTAAATTCTTTATCTCACATACGACAAGATGCACATTCATTCAGGTCGTTAACAAAAAGAAAAGAGGAAAATTTTTCATCGAATGAATGGAAGAGAATTGCTTGTTCTTTTTACCTTCTGAATGTGTCCTTATGTCCGACATACAGATTCTGCATGCCACATCAAGAAAAAAATGAATTTACACGCTCTATGATAGAACTCTACTGCTTGAAAGAAAAACGAAAAAGAATATTGTTTTCATCATACGTCTTTTGAGTACGCTCCTGAATTAGAAAATTGTATTGGAAAAAAACGTCTGTTTGCGTAGTAGTATGTACTAGTCGAAACTGATAATATAGTCCACTATTTTTATTAGGCAGTATAGGCCGACTGAAATGTGTTTTCTTTCATAAGAAAAATGGTATATAAATCTAAGTAAAACGAATAATCCTCTCATTTTTCTCAAAAATGTCAATCGTTATTGCACTCTTGGTGTTCATTATTTTACCGTATTATTTAACTGGAAATGTCGTCGTCTATACAAGTAATGGTTACAAATTAACTATTGAAAATAAAGATGATAGTTTTTCGAATGAAACTCGTCAACATCTCATAGACACGTATTTTAAAGTGATGCCCGAAATGAACGCCTACTTTGGTCAAAACAAACGAGATGCTCGTCTCACCATTGACCCAGGTTATAAGGGTGCTGCAGTTACAACTGGATCAAATATCGTGTTGAGTGCTGAATTTATTCGCAAGTATCCAGAAAGTTATGACGCGGTCACCCATGAATTTGCTCATGTTGTTCAAAGTTATCCAAAATATGATCCAAGTTGGCTTGTTGAAGGTATTGCTGATTTTGCACGATACAAGTGGGGCGTTAATAATAAAAAAGGTGGTTGGTCTCTACCGGATTTTAAGTCAGATCAAAAATATACAGATGCCTAAAAGTGACAGCCCGATTTTTGGTTTGGTTACAACGCTGGAAAAAGCGAGACATTGTAAAACGATTGGATCGTGCATTGAGATCAGATACGTATAAAGATGATTCGTGGAAAGCTTTTGCAGGAAAGACATTGGATGAACTTTGGAAGGAATATTCAGAAAAACCAGATATCTAATTGTAGATAATTTTTTTGTTGTGAATAATAATTATAATAATAAACTACAGGAAAGTTAAGATTAGTGGTGGTGAGGAGACAGTTTGCGCTATACGTTTGATTCGAATTTCTGTGATCGCAAATGAAAGTGACATGAGATGTGTCTATTTGTCTCAAAAATGGTTGTGATAGAAAAGTCTTTTATCTGCTCAAAATGACGGTGTAATTTAAATGTATTATAGAAAATGTAAATATATCTTTTTGCTTGTTTATCGGCGATAACACTATAACAGAGATGTGCGACCCGGCATGAGAGTAGAGTATGGATGTAGCAATTACGGGTACGGGTTCTATTCTTTTTTAATTCATCCGGAAAACGCACAACATTTTAGTGAAACGATACAAGGGTTTAGCTAAAATACATGAAGGTTTAAAAAAGAATTACTTGAGAACGTAATGATAATTTGTCATCTTCAGTCGAAAAACAAAAGTTTTTAGCTGGAGAAGAGAAAGTAGAAATGTATTAGGCTTGAGTCAGATACAGGTCGGGTACGGGTACGAAAATGGCACCCGTGCACATTTCCACAGTGTAACAGAGAGTGTTGAAATTGAACAACAGTAAACAAGAAAATATAAAATTTGAAAAAAACCAACAACCATGGATTGTATTTAACATGAAATGAGAAAGTTTCGTTTTAAGGAAAAGTTGATTTAAACATTCATTTAAAATCGATCAGGTCCAGTTGAGCTGCACTAGTTTTCAGTAGTTAATTTGTAACCGTTCGATTAAACAATATGAGTTCTGCACCAGTATCGATATTCATACCGAAATATGGATAGCGAAAATGCCGAGGATATCAAAAAATTCCTTGTACAAAATACTGTTTGTTTATTTGCGGATATGGTTCTAAAAGAATTAAAACATTTGATAAATATTCTTTCTTCTGTTTTGGTACCTTTATGTCATATCACTGATAGGTGAAGTTTTTAAATAGAACTAGAGTCAATGAAAACGACATTTTCGGATAGAGGATAGTCGATTGCATATGTATCCACCAAAATTGGCTCGGGGTGCTGTCAGTCGGGAAGGAAAACTTTTTTGGAAAGTTTCCAAGGGAAAGAAAAAAAAGGAAGCAAAAAATATAGCGACTCTAGCAGGAATTAAACCCACGCCGTAAGAATTCTCTTTCTTCCTGCTCTATCCACTGAGCTATCGAGTTATACTGTTTTTATCGTCCTTTTTCTCACTGTATTTGACATGACGAGGAAGAAATGAACATACTCGATACTTGCACAGAAAACTTGTTTATTCAGACACCGCAGCAGAAGTCTAACTCGAGAAAGAAACACTCCTAGATAGAGAAAAGTTGCCTTTTCTTTTTATGGGATCACTTGTCTAAAAATGCTTATTTTATTAGCTATTAACTTCTTTTAAATTCGAGTAGATTCAAAATTCTTTCTAGTGTAGGTAAAGACCACTTCTGAAGATCAAACCATGCATTATTATGGAGTTTGTCACTATAAAGTAGAGAATTATGACCTATTGTCTTTCTCTATTGTGTCAAAACTACGATTAGTAAGAAGATGGGTGACCACTTCCCAAGATCGAACCATAAGTATGGTGCTTTTCACATTTATCTCAACAGTTGTGGAGTGAAAGTTACTAGATACAGTTTATGTTTAAAAGGATGAGTCATTTCTGATAGAATGAAAAGAAATACTTAATGTAGAGGAGCAGAACATATGCATTGTACAGTGATATCGTGCTTCGTTCTTGTCGTGTGAAAGTTATCGTTCTTTGTTCGATAAGAACAAGGAATAGTAACACCCTCATACGGTGTGGACGGAGTTTGTATTGCTTGTCGTGCCTTAACTCTGTCTTTTTTCGGTACAAACAACAACTGTACAAAAACATTGAGAAACAGAATTTACATTTACGTCAAGTGAGAAATTTACATGAACAATAATAGGCAAGTGGCCAGGTGAAGACCATAGTTGACAAACTTCAAAAGATAAACAAAAAGGGGCTAGATTCGGAGTTATAATAGCAAGATCTAGTATGTTTTTATACAGAACACCATTACGAGTAAACAGATGGGTAGGGGTGTCATCATTTAGTAGAAAAATAGAGCCGTCATCAAGATGTGATTCTATATGTAGACCTCTCGGGTTGGGATTTGAATGTCTCCACAAACTACTCTTAGCATTTAAATCTCCGAGGAGAATACTCGATGACGAACTTATCAGGTCATCAAACAAATTTGTATTAAAATGTGCATTAGGTGACGCATAGTAAGTAAACAATCTAACATTTAGGATTGATGATCCTGGAAATTCTACACCTAGCACTTCTGCTGGCGCATTTTGTTTTATAATTTTAAAAGATAAAGATTTTTTAATAGCTATGAGGACTCCTCCACCCCTTGTGTTCACTCTATTTTTAAAAATATACCGAGTTTAATGTTTGTATGTTTGAGTTATTATATGGATTATTAGATCTGAATATTGATTCCATAGATTGTTCTAATGCATATCTATCGCTTTGATCCGCATATTTACTAATGATAAGGACTAATGTAGTAACAATCGTTGTGAGTAAGCATTAACAGTTATTAATAGTTTGTTCATTTGAAAGACTTTGATAACTGATTGTTTGTTGGATCTATTGAATTTCATTCATAACAGTTGTTAAACTTTTGATATGTCACCTATAGCTTTGGATAAATTTAATTTATCACTATTGCTTGATGTTGAGATAGTGGTTCGCGAAGTTTGTTGCTGTAAATTAAAATTATTTGAACGACTAAGACTAAGTGGTAGCTCAGCCGAGACAATATCTGCGAAAGATTTCGCTTTAACGTTACTAATGTACAGTTTTCGAGTAGATGGTCACCTCCCACATTTCCCACATTTGACATTGTGTTTGCGCTCATTAGCAAGATGACCAAGTTCCCGACATTTATAGCATCGGGTAATTTTAATTGGTGGAATATATTCCACAATAGAGCAAACAAATGGTGTGACGATTATCTTTTTCTTATCCAACAGATTATCACGAGCTTTTTCGTTTGCTAAATCAAGACGCAGTAGAGAAGTAGGTTGATTTCGTTGAGCATTTCTTATACGGGAGACTACGATAACGTCTTTTTCGACTGTTTAAATGTCTGCTATAGGTCGTCATCATCAATAGACAGGTCGACGTTTTTCAGAACGTAACTAAACGTTTTAGCAATGGTGCGAGGGCAACGAGAGTTGAATTTAAAATTCTCACCAAATAAATCAGACGGTAAGTTATTCGTTAAACATTTTTGACCTGTAATGTCTTGTGGAAATAATAGAAGTTCTTTCCTCGCATTAAACCGACAAGTAGTTCGACAATGATGATTTTCTTCCAGTTCAATTAAAATTGAACATAATATCCCACGATTCGGTACGTCATCATTAAATGTGAAAATAATTGGAGGAAACGGTTCAGGCAAGAAACCATTTAGCTTTTTCATTATTTTTTGTGGGGGAGAAGCCGTTGAGAATGCACGTTTGCCTGTTTGAAAACCTTGATGTGATTGTGAAAGCACATATGGTATTTGGACATATAAATTGGTTTCAGTGCCAGTTTCACCATTTTGAGTGTAAACGCCATTGTCTGGAGTATGACTCATCATACTTTCTGTGCTAAATGTATATACACGTACAGTAGAGTGAAAGAGAAAAAACGTGACAAAAGTACAGACTACAGACAACACGTCCTATTTGTACAGTTAAAAGAGTTAAAGAGATCGAGCGTCCGATCGGATTTGGAGATCGGAATATGCTCAATTCCTTCGCGGTCCAATATTTGGTTTCTGAAGGATCCGGAGATCGGATCCGATATCCGGAACCAGTCGGATCCGTTAATTTTCGGCGACCGGAAATTGACGGTTCCTGTGATGTGCACTTTATTCTTTTTTCTTTCTTTCCTTTAATATATTCACCGTTTTATTTCACGACAGGTGCACTTTAATTACAGCACTATAGATAATGAAAAATGAGAAGTTGTTCTTCTCAAATTCTTAGCGGTGTGAGTCATCGATCACAATGTTCAACGGACGTGTTGTACACGTCCTAGCTAGGGGGTCCTTCCGCTCTCTTGAATGAACAGAGAGAAGAACCACTAGAAAATGCAAGAAAAAATGTAAAGCTATTTTTATCCTTAAATGGCCTGAAAACTGATCACATTCTGCCAAAGCGAGAGAAATTGATGTCTGAAACTAGAAAGATCCGGTCGAATCTTTTCCGACATCTTCCGGCACGGATTCCGAGCAACGGATTTCCGACATGGTTGCGGTCAGATTTTACCGAATTGCGACATGTTCTAGTGTCGGATCAGGCAGGAGCCTTACGCCGGAATCAACGACCTGGGAAGCTAGTAAGCGGTAATCGTTACATAATTCAAAGATTTTTGTGAAAGATTTTTGTAACTACGTAATGCGTTCATAAAGCTCTCAAAACTTTTGCTAATTTTTTTGCAGAATATCAAGATTTTATTCTTTAATCTTCGTTAAACCACTCATGTATGTCGAAGCGAAGATGCAACCGATTTCGCGTATTCGTGAATCATATTTTTTGTCCGTAACCAATATAGACAGATATGAAAACCTTGAAGATATAACAATTAGTTGGCTTGATTCTCAAATGAATGAATCACTGAATTGTTTTGATACACAGTTACGTTTACATCATAGGATTAATCATCTACTAACTTTCGATAATATTGATGCTCGTGTAGAATATACAGTCATGTGTTGAAGATGAAAAATTATTTTTTATTGTATCTCGTATTGATAGTGAATTGATGGAAAATTTCCTCAGTTTATGTTTTTTGTGTTGATAAAGCTAGACATGAACAATGGATAAAACCAGATGAAAAAAATTTAGCTACTCAAGCAGTTTTTGTGGTATATAGGCAATAGTTTTCTTTTTCGTCTTTTGAATAAAGCATCAAGTACTAACAACTTGATGTTATTTATAAATTGCGATCATTCAGCCACATGCCGCCTGCTTTAATCTTAGTGAGACGGATCAAAAGAGAAAACTATATAGCTGTAGAGGAATGTCACCATGTCTCAAAAAGTTTCAGTGTGCTTGGAATCGGCACGGTCGTGAATAGGCTCCGATGTTCACAAGTTTTCATGAAATTTTAAAAGAAAAAGAGATCCATTCGAAAGAATAGACCAGGACACGTAGGTCTGCAAGGAAAAGAAAATTTTCTGTCAGATCTCTACATGTTTCTACCGGGATCTCTGTAAAATCATTTCGTAGATCAAGCAAACGTTGGTTCGATTCACATTAAGTCTTTTAACAGTCTAGGGTCTGCCCTATGCAGCTGAAGATCTTTTTATGCTTCTGTTCGGGGCGTCAGACTGAACATGCCAGAATCTCGGAAAAGCATGACTTTCGAATTGGTCGAGCTCGGAGTCGCATGATAATATAGGTTTTCAAACATGCTGAACATGATGACAATGTTTGACGTACCAACGGATCGTGACAAGCTTGTCAGAAATAGTAACAAGAGGGCTAGTTCTGGGTACCGGATGGTGTTCAATGAAATGGCCACAGTTCAATCAGTTCACAGCCGAACGAGCTGAAACTTTTAGAGTAGGCTCATCCGACATTCTTCTTCATAGTTACAGTAAAATGAATTAAGCTAGTTCCGTCGAAAGCGCTTGAGTTTTCAGAGTGTAAAAATTCCTGTAGCTCTAAAGAAACAAATTCGTTTACTGTATATTTGGATCATAAAAAGACTTTTCAGAGCCTATTCTATCCATTCTTTTTCAGCCCAGTCGGCTGTGAACTGACTAAGCTGTGATCATTTCACTGAAGCCATGTGGTACCCAAGACTGGCCCTCTTGTTAACCTTTCCGACAACCTTGTCACGATTCCTAGATAGAAAGAAACATTGCCATCATGTTTAGCATGATGGAAAACCTATGTTTTTATGCGAATCCGGGCTCGGTCGACTCGAAAGACATGCTTTTCGGAGACCCTAGCACGTGCGGTATGGCGCTCGAACGGAAGAATGGAACAATCTGCAGCTGTGTAGGACAGACCCTAGACTGTTAAAAGACTTAATGTGGACTGAAACTCGATCAGGGCTGCCTCGGCCGGCGAGATGATTTTTCAAAGACCCCCTTCGGTCCGCGCTCGCAACCAGGATAGGTGTTACACTTCCCTGATTCTACATAAAGCTCGAACGCAAGCACCAATGTCAATGACACTCCTTTGTGATTCTGTGTATGAACGTCCGTCACACTGCCACATGACTAAAAGTATGTACGTCCGTGACACTCACTGGTCACTATATGTATGTACGTCTGTCACACTGCCACATGACTATATGTATGTACGTCGGTCACACTGCCACATGACAAGATGTATGTACGTCCGTCACACTCGCGGGTCACCATATGTATGTACGTCCGTCACCCTTCCAAATGACTATATGTATGTACGTCCGTCACACCCGTGCACGGTCACACACAGACACACACACTTTCACTTTTTCGTATGACCATAGACTTACAGTCAATGGAATAAAAGTATGTTTAAAACAAGTAGCGCTCGCTAGCTCGCTGACTCTCCACCGGATGCGCGCGGCTGCTAGCTAGTGATATTGTTTCGCTTTGTACTATCGGTCCGAAGTACCGCTTGTAGTCAACGTGACAGTTGGTGATTACCAGTACCCGAAGAGATACTCCAGGCATCATTGGTCCGCAGTCGCACGATCCATTCACTTTACAATTTCTGCTCTGCAAAAGACCTTGGTTGAGTGCGAATCAAAGACAAAGCCCACGCCTCCCTCACGTCTCCTCAGTCGGCGCTCGCTGGGCACTATGCAAAATGTATTGCCTGTTTGTGGCGGCCTCGCTGATCCGCCCATTATTGAAATATCTGTTTTTTGTCTGCCACTCACATTGTGTGCCAGTCTCTGTGTGCATGCAAATCCGTCACACGGACATGGTCACGCCCATTATTAAAGTATATGTGTTTGTAAGTCCCTGATACAGTGCTCATATCTCAGTGTGTGTCCGTCTGTAACACAGTGTGAACGACGTTCAATGGCTTCGAATCACAGACAACGCTTACAGCTTCGTTCGGTCAGCGTTCGCTTGCAGCCCATTCACAGAATGTTATGCAATACGTGTATCTATGTCTGTCACAGCGTTCACGTCTATGTGTGCATGTACGTCTGTAACACAGTGTGAACGACCTTTCATTACTTGCAGCACCGAGATCATCGTTTGCAGCACAGAACCGTTGAGCTTTCCAAAGTGGTTCGATTTCTGACAACATTCCTTACCTCTTTTTCCTCTTCTTCGATATGGTAGTGTGGCCTTCGGCTTGTGAGCTTCGTCCCACAATCGCCTGAAAATTTCTACAAATCTTTATCACAAGACCTTGAATCAATTCTGCGGATTCTAAGTACGATCTTCGAAGATGATTGATCTAAAAATAACTGTCGATTTCACTAATCAAACGTATGTTGCGAATGAATCTAACCTCAACAAACAGCACAACACAATGCTCTTTGTCTCGAGATTAAGCTTGTGTAAATGTTTTCTTAATAAATTCTACTGATCGCATGTACAAAAAATAATCTAAGTTTTTCACACGAATGTCATTGCTAGGGGTATTTTGGTACATGGTATTCCATCTCCGGCACAAACACCTCTTGCATTTTTTTGACAACTTCCATTTGCTCTCTGACCATGGGCAAGGCTCTCACATGCTCGATGCAGTCGCAGACATCCGATAAAATTGGAGGCTTCCAATAGCTCGTTACGTTCATATTCAGTAGATAGCCATCTCTGAACTTTTCGAGATCATCGTGCAACTTCGAATTAAGATCGCTCGAATCCTTATTTTCACAAATATAATTTTCTTCATCGATCATCCGATTGATTCCAAACAAGAATGGATCGGTGCGCGGTGTGCTGATGTCACGCATAAGAAAACGAGCGAAGCCTGCACTCACATGTCGTAAATAATTTAAAAAAGCGGACACTTGTTCGGAACGAAGACTCTCTGGATTATTTGAAAGCTCGTATTCCAGCTGATAATCGATCGGCATGTGTATGTTTGCACTGCATGAGCAAGTCTCACATTCACCCCAAAACTCGTGCAGACAATCGGACATAATCCAATAGCTGCCGACTTTACGACAACTACGGTTACATGAGTAACAAAGACTGGAAGGATGCAAAAGAGCTTTCGGACGCAGTTCGATCGAGACATTCTGTGATCCCATGTTCCATAAGAGGAGATTCCGAAGAAAATTTCGCACTGCTTCTAACATGGGACGAACCATTTGAGTGATTGCCAGCTGAGCATATTCGACCACTTGCCAGTTTTGATGTATGCGAAGCGAGGTGGGATTTGCGCGAATATACTCTAGGAGACGTTTCCACTCAGGTGCTGATATTGACCAACTCTTATCACGCTTCCATGCCTGATGATTCATAAGTGTCATGGAATATCGTTCATCGATCAAATGAATGACATATTCGCTACCAAACGAGAAGGTATTCTTATCACTGAAAGGAATGTTTTTGATGGGCGGCGATTCGAGCATTGATTGCAGTAGGGCGATTCGCTTCTCTTGTTCGACGCCAGGTGAAAGAGTCTTGGTGAAGCAGAAGATGATGTTCTGATGAGCATTCGCCCCCAGAAAGTGCATCAGTTGTGTCAAACATGAGCGGTACACGTTGAGTTCCGACGCATTGGCTTCAACTAGAATACACACAGCATTCAAGTGGGATAGATTACTGATATATGCCAAAATATGTTGCATATTGTGTTCGTCATAACTGGGACCACGTTTATCTCCAATACCCGGCGTGTCAATCATGCGTAACTTCATTCTATTACCAATGCTGAAGATATATGATCTACAATGCTGAGTTACAGATTGGCCTGGATTACGGTAATCTTCATTCGGGTCATAACCGCCAAATCTGATGATATGCCCTTCACCATAGTCGTTCATCGGGAGGATGCGAGCAACGGGTATAGGCACGACAGGTCCGTGCAACTGAGCTTGTTCGAGACTATTAAATGTATTGTAGTTGGCAAAAGCATTGATAAAAGTGGACTTGCCAACGCCCAGCCCACCCAGAAGAAGAACGTTGATTATTTCGTCGTTCGATCGCGGTGATTGAGAGCAGGGCCATAATTCTGGTGCTGATAGTGATGTGAGCGAATTTCGCACATGTGTTTTCGAACTGTTAGTCATCGATGGAATAATTTTCGTCTCGTCGAGCTTGAGAGAGCAATAGGAGAAATCAGCATAGACGAGACGCAATCGGGGATTCGCGGTACGCTCAGTGATTAATTGAGAGCGTAAATCTTCCCACTGTGATGAATTTTCCTCTTTTAACTGATCATTTGTGCAAAGAATACGTATTGCTCGATCGTTTTTCAGGAGCTTCTCTTCAACCGTGCTATCATTGTCGTCATGTAGCACGTCCCATTTGGCAACGTCCCAATATTCGATGGTTTGCTTTTCTAAAGTTTCAATCAAACGTTTTTTCTCTTTCAGAAGTGTTAGACGGTGATTTAAACCACTGATGGAGTCTCTCAAGTCTTCGGATAATTTTTCAGAGATTGCTTTCTGCTGAACTCTCCCTTGACGAATATCAACAAGCAAATCCTGCATTTCTTTCATTTTCTTCGAGGAGCGACTTTTCAGCGCTGAGAATTCAGTTTTCATGTCACCTAACTGCTGTTTGAGATGTATTTCAATGACATATCCTTCAATGTCGTCAAGCGACATTTCTAATTTTTTGATCAGAGGTGGAAGTCGAAGCAAATATTCTTCGACTTTCTTGATGTTTGCTTGACTGAATACGGGAGATGTGGGAATTAAATCGACTTGAGATCCATCCGGCGTCTTCTCCTTCATGGACCACCTTTCCCCTTCATAAACGATCCATTTGCTCACACACTGTATGAAATCCTTGGCATAGACATGGTCGAGCCATTTCGCTGGTAAATTCTTGTAGCCGTAGCAAGCCCCAGCTAATTGTCCATATATAGCTGCTGTTGTATCGGTATCATCGCCGAGATTAACAGCTTTCAGTGCACCCGTCTCGAACGAGCCCCCATCGTAGCAGAAAGCCCACAGTGCGGCTTCAAGAGCATTGACAATGTAACCTTTGCCTCGAATTCCCGCGTCATAACCTCCGGGTCGTTTGTACGATCCTTCGGCAATCTTCTGAATGTCTTGATGCAGAGTTGTAGTGCCAAACCATGCCTTGTGCTCATCATAAAAGGTGTTCTTAATCAAGCTCTCCTTTGTTTCGCCCTGAACAGCAGCAACAATGAGAGCTCCATAATACCGACATGCGTCACGGGCCTTTTGATCACCATGGGTAACAGCACCGCTGATGCCCGAGTATAACACAGCTCTGTCGGGGTGTTGTTGAAAGAAGAGCGGGACGGGTGCTAGACGCATGAGAGCGCCATTGCCAGCCACGCCATCTGCACTACAATACACGTCAAACCCGTTGGTGTCGGAGAGATAGTCCATCTGATCGAAGGGAATCTCATATTCGTTCGCGAATCTGCTTTGGCGGATCTCAAACTCACGGAGTGACTGACTGGTGGCAGCACCAATGTCGAAACAGTGCCCCGTCGATGACATGTAGCCGTGTCTGTACCACCATTTGTAACGAACCAACTGGTCGTAAGGAATAAAGCCTTGTCGAGCGATCAGTGAATTAGCGAGACAGAGAGCCATGGAGGTGTCATCAGTGAACTGCAAAACAACAGCCAGTTTATTAGTTTCGAAGCATTATGTTATACACTAGAAGATGACTGTTCTCAAAGTTTATTCAGACTAGTCCTCAAATGGGGCATGTCTTGTTGGATTTCTTTAGCAAAAACGTAAGAGATCTAAGTTCTTACCTGACCCTTCCGGAGACCCCACGTTCCTCCACCCTCAAGATCTTTAACCGGATTGGCAGCTAGAAAGCTGTGAGGCCGGAATTCGACGTGAGCCCCAAGAGCATCGCCCAAGGCCATACCCATCATAGAGCCTTGAATACGGTCCAGCACGTCCTCGTCGATCTTGGCCTCCGGATCTTTCATCTCCAATGCGAGCTCATCAGGCTTCTTGACCGATTGGTAGTCACCATCATGAAACTGTAACTTGAGCCAAGCCTTGTCTAGAGAAACAAGCATTCGCGCTGTGAAGTTCAAATTCGATTTGCATGCTGAAGAAAACATTCGCCTGTATGATGACGTTTTTACCTAGATTAAATTCTCTCTATGAATGAAAACTATTCAAGACTCACTCGCTTTAAACTGACACTTGGTATGCTGCGACGATTGCGACATTTTCCTTTTCTGAAACAAGACCCCAAAGCTACTGCAATGATTACAATGATGCATGAGATTCATCAACCACGACAAACGCGCTGTTTACAATTTTACGAGATGACTCTTTTTGTTTTCGGCGGAATGCATAAGAAGATAAATGTTTACCTCAACAGCTGAGCGCTCACAGCGTGTAGCATCTATCTTTTCAAGGGGGAAATCGTCTACATTCACAGCGAAGTATGCTGTCGCGCGCTGCAATATGAAAGCAGCCATAGAAAAACGCTCCTTTCAGGAGAAAAAACGCCTCTCACAAGTTGAAAATATTATTCGTGCACGTTTTCACCGCGAGCCTTTTTTCCTTTCTCTTATTTGCTATCACCGAATTGTTAAAAGTCAACATACCTTTCTTCCTTTTCTCCTCTCATTCTCTTGCTGCAAACGATCGATCACTGTCAACAACAACATTAGCGAACACATGGCCAAAATAAGAGACACAGACACAGAATTGCGCCACACGTTGTAATTTTGCCTTGAAAAGAGGTCGAGTTCGTAACGCTGAAGTCTTCTGCACAAAACTTTGCACACCGGTGAGTCCACCTGGATAGATTTTAAAAAATCACGATCGAATTTATTTGAAACAGATCAAGATGATAATCGACTATGTACATTTTCACCTTTTCTCCCAAGATTCTAGCTGAAATCTACATTAGTTTTTGACACGTCATGGAGAAATTTAAAAAGTTAGAAATCAGCGAATAACACTAGCTTTTTGACTAAAAATCCAGTTGGATTCGTTGATTTTTGACAAATTTCAGTCAGTTGAATTTTTTAACATCGGGTCCATTTCAACAGAGCTTTCTTACTAGAAAGGATTGAAACCTGCAGATCGATTAGTATTTAGATCTTGCTTCAAAATAAGGATTCTAGGATTCTGGGATTCTAGGATTCTTAGGATTCTGCGATTCTTAGGATTCTAGGATTCTGGGATTCTTAGGATTCTAGGATTTTTAGGATTCTAAGGATTCTAGAATTCTTAGGATTCTAGGATTCTTAGATTGTGGGATTCTAGGATTCTTAAGATTCTGCGATTCTTAGGATTCTAGGATTCTTAGATTCTAGGATTCTAAGGATCCTAGGATTCTAGGATTCTAAGGATTCTGGAATTCTTAGGATTCTAGGATTCTTAGGATTCTGGGATTCTGAGGATTCTAGGATTCTTAGATTCTAGGATTCCGGGATTCTTAGGATATCCTACAATCCTAGAATCCTAGAATCCTAAGAATTCTAGAATCCTAAGAATCCTAGAATCCTACAAAGTTTTAAATTTTCGATTTGCGGCAAGCCAAATTTGAATAGAAAATTTGACTTTGCAGCAAAGGGAAGTTCTCCATGTTATGGGTGAAAGTGATGTGCATTTGATGACCGATGAGAGAGAGAGAGAGCAATAGATAGATATATGGCATATATCAAAGAAGAACAGAGTGAAGAAAAGAGGATGAAAGAACAATGAGGAGAATCGTTCACAGACCTTTTATAGAAAAATCTGTATTTCTGACCGGAGCGGCCTTAAGACATGTTTTTGACGACATCATGCGCCTTCACACGAATTTTCATTCGAACTTCGGTGTACAACTGAAGCGAACACAACAGAAAAATCCTCGTCAGCACGGTTTACAATTTTTCGATTCTTTTCAAACAATTCAAGACAATATATTTGATTTAAAACTTGACATATTCGAACATCTTTATCATACAAGTTGAATCAAATCCAGGATAGCAAATTCGAAGAAAGCAAGTAAATTCACATTAGAAGCAAAACTCATAGCATAAAGTTTTCTTGTTGATATTACTGTTTTTTCGCAATTATATAGCTGTATCTACAATAACACATTATTGTCATTATCATCGATATTAGCCTATTTTTTCGCTTCGATTACAAATAATCCCTTCGCATAAATCTGCTACTTCTATACTTAGAACGGAAGTTCAGCTATGTGTTCTTAACAAAGCACCTTTTACAAGGCTTCGAGGCTGAATAAATAGAAATACAGTAATGTTGTTTGAATTGCTAAGAAATTTTACCAAGGTATACAAGCAATACGATCACATTTCTTCTTTCGTTCTTTCTTTGCTATAAGCACATCATATAATAAATCCTTGATGTTGTGTATGCTACATTTATTTTGTACTTTTTCATTTAACAAGTGAACTTTTCTTCTGCCAAGCAACATTAAAAATAAAATTGCCATGAATGCTTTCTTTCATAAGACGGGCAAGTACAATGACATCAATTAAAGTAACATGTCTGCTATATTTATCGAGAACTGAAGCCCTTCGTAAGAGGATATTTGTAAAAGATGCAAACACTGACTAATATCCCAAAACCCCCGAAATGAAAATGAACAAAATGTGAAACGATAGAGCTTGTCGAGTTGAGTATACTAACACTTCAAGTAATCACTAATACCTAAGATTTTCAGCTCTTTTTTCAAATAAACATCCACCAATATCCAGAAAAGTTGATCCACATGCAAGGGGAAATTTCGAGGATCATGGTATCATATAAGATCATCGAGGATCACATAAAGACCATGCAAGGAGCATACGAAGATCCTGTAAAGATCATACGAGGATCATATAAGGGAAGAGTAGATTGTCGAATAGAGAAAAAATCTTATTAGTCATGTAGGAAAAGACAACCAGCCATGAAACTTGCATAGTCGAGGAAATCAACCATGGGGAATCAGGAAATGACTGTGAGCGACGTCTAGAATTGGTTCTATTGGTCGAAAAACTTGATTTTTGTTTGATTGGATGAAAATGATTTAGAATAGGTTAATTGAGATGATCAAAATCGATTTTGTGATAAACACTTGGAAAGATAACCTCAAGTATCTACTTTCACAATCTGTATCGCTTTGGGTTACAGAAATGTTTTTTCTTGGTTTTCGAGCAAGCTTTCTAGGAGCCTCGAGAAACCGGATCTTCAAATGATAGCTTTTTCCTTGATACTTATGAAATTAAATTTCTATCTGAACGCGTGGATTTGTAGAGTAAACTTTTCTAATCAAAATAAGACATCGTACAACTCTCTGTGGCCTTGACTCAAAATGTTACAATCATCTTACAACTCCTAAAATTGAGTATTCTATACAGCGTTTTCAAGAACGAGGCGCGAGAGAAAACGCTGTATAGAATACTCAATTTTAGGAGTTGTAAGATGATTGTAACATTTTGAGTCAAGGCCACAGAGAGTTGTACGATGTCTTATTTTGATTAGAAAAGTTTACTCTACAAATCCACGCGTTCAGATAGAAATTTAATTTCATAAGTATCAAGGAAAAAGCTATCATTTGAAGATCCGGTTTCTCGAGGCTCCTAGAAAGCTTGCTCGAAAACCAAGAAAAAACATTTCTGTAACCCAAAGCGATACAGATTGTGAAAGTAGACACTTCAAGTTATCTTTCCAAGTGTTTATCACAAAATCGATTTTGATCAACTCAATCAATTTATTCCAAATCATTTTCATCTATGCCAAACTAGTTTTTAGAAAAGGTACCGTTTAGTTTTTGAGTTATAAGGCTGCCAATATCACAGCTGAACGTATGAAAAAGTAGGTAACTGCGTCAATATAAAAGCCAAATGAGTTTGCAGAGAATTTTCTGAACTACCATGACTTTCCGGCTTTCTCTTCGGGCCATGGTAGTGAGAGATAATGTATGTCAATTAAGAAAACAATTATTTGATATGTCAAGTAAGTGAATGTTTTTTTATATATTACATATACCGAAGAATAGAAAACTTGTCGAAATTGGCCGAGGGTCTATGAAGGGATAATGCCCCGTTTCTGGCACTAATTCCAACTAGTAACACCTAAAAAAGTAATTTGATGTTGTTTAAAATTTTGATATTTATTTTTAAATTTACAGAGAAACTGTACCATGATAATAGTAGTGAAGAGAAAAGACTCGTCTTTCATATCCATTTGGTAAAAATGAGCCTGCAAATTTATCTTCATCAGAAATTAGTCAAAAATTTTCTTTTTTTCTTCATTAGAAAAGGATATATAGTGTACTTCTCTAATAAGATTCATACCTATATTTTACTTTTATATAAAAATATGGCCGTCACCATAGATTAAGATCTTTTTTCTATAGATATTTTCTTATATAAAGGCATGATATTTGATCATTTCTTCACCGTTTCGAGTTAGCTTCACTTCGTTCTCTTCACTTCGAGACTTTGAAAAAGAATTCGAAAGTCTTTTCTCTCGACTACTTCACACTTTGTCATTGTATAGTGATCAACGACTATTCCTCGACAGTAAACAAGCGAAAAACAATCATGAGGGTGGCAACTGATGGATGTCAGTTTGCTGAAATGTACATGCTCAAATCGAAATGTTTCCTCAATGATAATAGTAGTGGCAGTACTGGAACATTGAACACTAAAAGGAACTTCGAGAGGCATTCAGTTTTCGATGAACGTGAAAGTTCATCTTGTTTCATGTGGGGGAGATGTTTTGCCGCGCACTAGAGTCGTGACATAAGGAAAGAAGATCATAGTTAAGATTATTGCGCAAGCATACTCAATGCTATGGTGCAAGAATATATTCAAGGTTATTCAATAACCTTGAATAGTGCACGAACGCAGTGCGCGAAGTCTACTCAAGGTTATCGCGCAATATTCCGTATATAAATAGATCAATTTTATTGTTAAGAATAATCTTTTTTATTTGTAAATAAACGTTAGGTGAGAAAGACTTAGATTTTGCTCTAATGTTCCCAGTTTGTACAGAACACTTCGAAGTACATTTCCTGAAGTTTTTTCAGCTTGCTGACATTATGTGGCTGAGAAAAAGATCACCATCTAGTGTGAATGATGTAAGCCTTCCCAAACTAGAATATTAATGTCTATCATATTCAAACCAAGTATGCGCATGTCATGTTCTAGGTTCTTGTACCATCCTAGAACTGTTCTATCTCATGAACCAAGGCTGATGCAATAACCTTGAATATTCTTGCGCAATAACCTTACCCATAGTTTTGCACCATAACCTTGAATATATATGCTTGCGCCATAATCTTAACTATGATTTTCTCCCTTATGTCACGATTCTGGTGCGTGGCATAACACAGATATTATTGTATGTTCCTACCAAGTCAACATGATCAGGTGGAAGACATTTTAAACGAATTTCAAGTGCTTTTTCAAATTGTTCATAGACTGATCATATTGTCTGATTATTCGTGAAACTCAACCATGTTCTTATAGATTGTAGCTAAACTCGGATGATTTTACCATTAATGCGAGCAGAAATATTTTATCGAGCGCTTTTTCATAATTTATTAATGCTAACGAATAATTCTGTTTCGATATGTTGAGCAAAACCATATTATGGTATGTTGTTGCAATATTTGGATGAGCATTGAATAGCGATTTAATTGAATTTCGAGAGCTGTTTCGTGATCTTTAAATGATTCATCGTGATTGTCGAGAAGATTATTAATATATGTTATGTTAGTATAAATAACAGCTAGTGTTGGGTACAGACAGGGTAGAGTGTGTTTTTCAATGGCTAACGCTTTGTTGTAATATTTCAACGATGATTTATAATCACCTTTATGTCTGTACGTTAATCCAATATTGTTATAATTTTCAGCTAAATCCTTGTTAATCTTTTTTGATGCAGGCAATGGGTGAGTTTCTTCGATCTTTTTAAAGTTAGTTCTATGACTTAAAATTAATACAGAAGTTTTCATCTTTTTGCACCAAAATAACAACCACAGTAACATTTTAGTGCCTCTAGAGCGACTCCAAATGGTGCCAAAATGTGGCTAAAGCTAACTGACTTTAATGTCCTCGAAGACATCGCAATTTTTCACTATATTACAACATAAAGTAGTATACGGAAGTTGCGCTAGTTAGTAGCGCAACACATAATTTCCTCTATTATTATCAAGTAAATCTAGACTGTTATAGGTAGAAACAACATTTGATAAATCGTGGTCGTAAAAAAAGGTTTTCTTAAACAATTCTTCTGCTTCACGAAATGCTCCTCCTGCTTTATATCGCCCATAAGATGATAAAGTTTTCCTAGATCTAAAAATCATCTAACGGAAGTTGTTCATCTAAAATTGTACAATAATGTTCGGCTCGGTCACATTCTGCAGTATCAAATAAAACGCGTTCTAGATCCAGTAATGATGGTTTATCACTAATCTCTTTTTTCAAATGTTTTGACAATTGTTCAATATCTTGATTTTCTCGTTTATCCGTAACTAATTGAACTAACCAAATAGTGTTTGTTTGTGGTAGAACCTCTTTAATACGAAACACACTAACAATTGTAAAAAGAACTTCATTTTCAGCTTTAAAATAGCTCACAGTTTTAAGGCTAGCAAATGGGAATACAGCTGTATCAATTTCAATTTCAAAGATAACAGGCTCTAACGTTGGACGATCTTCACCGTCACCAGAATACATTAAAACAATTTCA